GTTTGATATTCTCATATTTATTTTTATGTATTTTGAGACTAATCCCTTGTAAACTTCCTACATTAGTTTTTATTTAAGAAAATTAATTTTTTAATGCTTACTTTAAGATTTAAATTGTAAACCTAATTTATAAAATTAACACTTCACCAATAAATTCAACCCTTATAGTTCAACTGTAAACATGTTAGTTGATGGGTTGACCTTTCATGCTTGGCAAGCAAAAAGATGATATAGGACTTTCCTATGGGAAGTCCAACGAAGCAAAATTAATGTTCATTTAGTCAGTTTCTTAAAAGATCTTACGCTAACCGCAATTTTTTAAAGGAGTCTCCTTATTTTTCTAGAAGTTGTTTTCAAGCTTATAAAGGAGTTTTCTAATTATGGAACTGAACTAGTGGAAGTCTGGTGAGCACATAATTAAAAAGCTCTGTTCCATTTGTGCATTAGGACTTCCATGACTGATGATCACAATATTTAATTACTAGGCTCCTCCATAGCAGGAGAGAGCTTAATAAGATTCTATGCTTTTCAATTAAAACTACAATTTGCATATATTTTTCAGCAATTTTTTCAGTCTCTGATTGTTGGGCAGTTCCACAAAGTTAATGAGTCTGTACTCAAATTCCAAAGGGCTAATCTTACCACTTTTACACTTCTATAATATTAGGAACATATGAAAACATGTAACTACAATTTTTGTGGGAGTAATGAGAAGAGGATGAAAATTTAATATCAATAATGTGATTTATATTATATTATTAAATTAATTAAGGTATATAATATTATAAATTTAAAAAAAGAAAGAGAGTTAATTATTACATAATATAAAATTTATTTTTTAATATTTTAAATAACATGACTTATGTTACATTATTAATTTTAAATTTTAGTCACATTTATTATTATTCTTTTTGTAGTTTCACAGATGACTGATATTACATCACAAGGTTCTAGAATTATTACACAGATTCTCTAGCTAGTTGTTTAATATTATTCTGATAAGTTTCATTATGTAGTTTCATTATGTTCCACTCTAATGACTACGTATTATAACCTAAATACAATTGGACAATAATCTGCACTCATCAGAATTCTAACTAGAGATATAGATTGCTTTTGGGATTAGACTGATCGAATTGGGTTGGAAATTTTTGCTTTCGTTACTTCAGCGAGTTCTAATCACCTACATTTGGATGACTCCTAAAGTCTTAAACCATAAGTCAGAAGGATGCCCAAATAATAAAAATAAAATAAAACCTATTACTTGAAAATCGTCGAATCTGAATTACTTTTGAGTCGCGTACATTGTGTGGATATTCATAAAAATAATAATATTATTATTATATTGAGATAGACTAGATCTACCAACAATAAATACATGAACCCACAGTCACATAATATATTAAGGGTATATTTGATTTGAGAGGAGCAGTGAGGGGAACAGATTTTTATTTGATTTTTAAAAAAATTAAAGGGGAGAAAAAGGAGAAAAGTCCTTTTTTTTTTTTCTTTAAATTCTTTCACATATCCAAATGAAAGAAGCGGACAGAAAGAAAATTGAGAAAAATAAAATGAAATAACATGCTTCCATTCATCTCTTCTTTTTCTCCTTTTTTTTAAACCAAATAAACAGCACCACAACATGTAACTGTAAGGTTAAATCATATATTTAGTATTTTATTTTATTAAATTTGAAGTTTTTAATCCCTTATTTTAAAATATGAAGTTTTTAACTTTTAAACTTAAAAGTTTGAAGATTTTAATCTTTAGATTAACGAAACCATTAACTCTCCGTGAAACTAAAAATAGAATATTTACAAGATTAATCCCTAAAAATTAAAAATATAACAATTTAATTTTACAAGTTTACAATTTAAAAAAAAATAATAAATTAAAAAGAATTAACTGATGACTTTTCCATGCACACTAGAACAATATTAGAAATTTATAATAAATCAAGTGACTTGCTTAATTTGAAGAAAGAATTCTGATTGAGATTAAAAAAATTATTAATTGAGTTAAGATAAAAATTTCAAGAGGCTAAAAGAATATAGTTAGTATTTTTTTTTTAATTTTAGTCAAATTTTTTTATTTAGATTGAGTTAATCACTTGATTTTATTTTACATATTTAATATTGTTCTCATATACGTAGCAAAAATATTCACTAATTATTTTTAATTTATTAATTTTTTTTAATTTTTAAACTTTTAAAACTAAATTATTATATTTTTATTTTTTGAGGACTGATCTTATAAATATTCTATTCTTACTTTAATAGAGAGTTAATAGATGTTAGTCAAGAAGCTAAAATCTTCAAACTTTAAAGTTTAAGAGTTAAAAACTTTATATTATAAGGTGAGGGATTAAAATCTTTAAAGTTAATAAGATGAGGGGTCAATTATATAATTTAGCTGACGTGTAACATATCATGCATAAAAGGAAGAGTCCAAAACTCAAGGTAGACAAATTAACTTAACCTACTAAACAGTAGGACAATGGAAGCTAAAAGGCAATGAAAAAATACGAAAAGGAAAAGGGGAGGGGGTATTTTTTAGTCATTTATTTAGATAAAAATTATAATGAAAGGGGAAGGGAGGAGAGGGTTTTTAAATGGAAAAAAATTATTGGTGTTAGTGTAATTTGAATAAACAAAAATAGAGGAGAAAGGGAAGATTATTTATTTGATTAAATAATTTGTAAAAATAAAATTGAATAGAATAAAAATTTATAATTTTACTAAATAAATAAAATAAAATATTTTTGCATATTTATTTTAAAGTAAACAAAGACCCAATATTGTGTCAATCCATAGAAATCCCCCAACTTTGAAGAGATGGAAATCAGGGTAGCAAAGGAGTTCTATCTTTTTCCCCTTCCATTAATGAGCTAATCCAAACAAAAGAAACCCTCACTCTTTTCTATTAGTCTCCAAATCTCTGTCCAAACACCGTACCGC